AAAAATAAATAAATAAATTCACACACACACACACACACACACACACACACACACACACAGACGGGGGGGGGGGGGGAGAAGACTTAACAACTACAATTCCTTGAAGTTGATATGACAAGCAAACAGAAAGGACATTGTTGGGTGGGAGGGGAGAAAGGGAGGAGGGAGCAGGGTTTCGATAATGGGCCACAATAATCAACCACATTGTATATCAACAAAATAAAATTAAGAGGAAAAAAACAAAAAAAGAAAGAAAGAAAAGAAACAACCCAATACAAAAATGGGCAACAGATGTGATAGGTAGTTTGCCAAAGAATACATACCCAGATGGTAAATAAGCACATGAAAAGATGCTCAATACTATTAATCATTAAGGGAATGCAAATTAAAACCACAGTGAATTACCACTACACAACCAATGACTAAAATGTTTAAAAAACTAACAATTTTAACTGCTGCTGAGAATGCAGAGAAATTGGACCTTTCATACATTGCAGGTGGGAATGCAAAATGGTACAGCTACTTTGGAAAATAGTTTGGTAGCTTCTTATAAAGTAAAATATACACTTACATGCAACCCAGCAATCCCACACCTAGGTAGTGATACAAGAGAAATGAAAACTTAATGTTCATACAAAAACCTGTACAGGAATGTTTACAGATGCAACAATTCCAAGATGCAACAGATGAAAATACAACAGAAACATTTAAAATACCTCACAACTACGGCAACAGATTCCAACCGAGAAGTGATAAAGGCCTTTGTGATTTCCGGTGCATAAGTGTCTAATAAGTGGGGTTCAGTTGATTTCACAAAAGGAACTGATGCTACCATCCTTTGCCACAGAGTTAATAAATAATGAACACTGTTGGGAGCAAATTCCCAATGCTACAAAAAAATAAAGCAAAATTTATTTAAAATGACATTATATCTTCCTAAAATAAGAATTACAGAGCAAAATTACTAAACATACATTTTAAAATTAACTTTTATCCTGATTATATACCTAATGAACAATTAATACAGCAAATTTTATAAACGCAAAAAAAGCATAAAGAAACCAACATCTCTCATTATTCTACTGCCCAGAGATGATTACTATTAAAATGTTCCTGTATTTCCTTCTAATCATTCCATGAATATTTTTCAGAGTTGACACCATGTGGTATTATAGATGGTTTTATGAGCTCTCCCCAAACTTATAAAAAGAATTTTTCCTTAATACAATTTGTAAAAATATTCTTTTATTTCTTCACATAGATTTTACTGCAGCTTCTCAAGTCATTTTTCAATTATTGGACATTTAAGTGACTTCTCTCTTTTTTCTTTTTTTGGCAGCTGGCCAGTACTGGGATCTGAACCCATGACCTTGGTGGTACTAGCACCACTCTCTCCCAGGTGAGCTAACCAGCCAGCCTGACTTCTCAATTTTTATTATAAATGTTGTAATGAACTTTTTTTCCTAAAACTTTGTAATGAACATTTTCAGCAAAGTACCCAAATTAACAGACTGAAAACACACCCCCAACGACCCTTACCAAGAAATTGTTAAAAAACTGTCTACAGTTTAACATCAATTATATATTTTTCCTTACCTGTAGGCTAGTAATGGTAAAATTAGCGATCAATCTAATAACTTCAGGATATTCTTTCACCATAACTAATTCTCCCAGCTGATAATTTGTTTTTAAACGAGCCAAAAATCGACAAAATTCATGATAATTACCTGGATCAGACAAACCCTATATTATGAGATAAAAATAAAGGCTTTTAAAAGTACTTAAAAACAAACCTAAAATTATGAGATAAAAATAAAGGCTTTTAAAAGTACTTAAAAACGAACCTATTGATAATAAAATCAATAAAATTCCACAGTATTTTATTGTCTCCCAGTTTTCATGGGTACTTATGGTACTTTGTGTTAACATGGTAGAGAACAATAAAGCATGTGTTGAATAAAAAGAAAACAAGTGATTCCTAGTGGTTTTAATGTTGTCATCAATGATTAATAATAAGGGATCCAAAGAAGAGGCTTTGGAAGAAGCTTTGCACCATGATGACTAAATTATAATGTTTGGGAACCTATCCATATTAGATTTAAAAATGTGTGTGTGAGCGTTTGTGTGTGTACTGCGACTTAAACAGAAGTCAACAAAGAACTTGAAAAATATCAAAGATGAAAAATAAAAATGGCTCTTGAAACCCTGCCCAACAGTAATACTGACATTAAGCAGTTAGTCTGCACACAAATTACAGAAGTTTCTTTTTATTCAACAGATACTTATTACCTACAGGCATTCTGCTCTCAAATCACTCCCTATCTCTAAGTGGACAGTCATTCAAACAAATTACTGCAATGTAGGGAATAAAGTTTAATAAAATACCCATAAGATACACAGGTAGCTTCTGGAGGTATTGAAAGGTCTCCCCAGTTGTCTGTGAGCTGCTAGAAGACATGGCACATGTGTTATTATCTCTATAGTTTGAACACTTTGCACTATGTACTGTAGCTGGCATGAAACAATTTTTAAAAATCTGTTTAATACTGAAAGACTTTCTAAAAAATTTCATTTATATGAGCTCCACAAAAGAATATAAAATAGTATCTACTTATCAAGAACAAATTACAAAAAGACATTTTGTAATCATAAGTCTTTTAATACATGTTTGTGATTCTAATATAATATAATATTCAGACTAAATTTTACAGACATGAAATATCAACATGAGGATGCTGGAAAATCATTTAAGAGAATTATCTGACAGCATATTATCTTCCACATACTGGTTGATGACAGTGAGTTACACAACTAAAAATTTTATAGTATATTGGGAAAATCCTACATTTATCAGCAAACAGGTAAATTTCACAGCTATACTTACACTGAAAAGACAAAAACAAATGCATAAGACAAAATATTCCTAATACCTGTAAAAACAATTGCTTTCTGTAGAAGCATCTTTTCTTTCTATACAAAGAAATTATGTGTTCCCCCAAAAGTTAATAATAACCAAGAGACTTACAGAAACCACCTTAAATCATTTAACCCTTTAAAATCTATACTTTACAGATTTTTGTTGTTGAAATGTTTTTTTAAAATTTTAACTTCTCAATATACATTGTAGTTGATTTTCATGACCCTTTACCCATTCCCTCTTCTCCTTCCCCTCCCCCCCCACATCATATCAAACATTTCTTTTTTTTTTTTTGGTGGCTGGCTGGTATGGGGATCCAAACCCGTGACCCTGGTGTTACAAGGCTGTGCTCTAATCAACTGAGAACCAGCCAGTCCCAGAATTTACAAATATCTTAAACCAAAACAAAATAAAAAGTGAAACATAAAATATTTTATCTAAGCATCCCAAATCACTCAATAATGGCTATGCAATTCTCTGAAATGAATATTGCCACTGAAGCTCTGAAGTTGATGTACAGAGTAGATTTTAAAATCTGCAAACTCTTATTTGCTCACAAGAGGGCAAAAAGACATTATTCCATAGTTTAAGGCCACTTATTCCAATATTAATGTTCAGATTTATATTGTCTTCTAATTCAAAAGGTGGATATAACCCTGCATTAATCACTTCAGTAGTTCCACAAGTGCAAGCAAAGAAATGCAGTACAGTGGTAAAAGACAGAAGCATAATAAGATATATAAACTGTATTTATATTTGCCTAAAAGAAAAAAAAATAAAAAGAAGAAGAACAAAGAACTCTGCCATGGAAACATGCATTTTTTAAAACTGCCCATTTCTACTACAAATGAGACCTGAGGAAGATAAATATGATACTAAATATTTTCTTCCAGAATCATAATAAATACATGATGAATTTAATATGTGCCTTCGAGCAGAAAAACCGTATTTCCATATGCTAAGTATTAATTATATTACTCATAAATACCTGAGGGTTTTCAAGTATCCTTTTTACTCCCTTAATTAAATTACCAAGGTACTTGGCACGTTCAGGACTGCTAAATAAGGACCTTCTTGTAGAAGCAAACTGAACTAAACATGAAAGTGCCTAAAAACAACAAAAAAATTAATTTCAATTTTAAAAGTAACTATAGCCACATGTAAGGAATACTAGTCTCTACATTTAAAACATATTTAATTTTAATGATAAGAAAGCATTTTAGAATATAAAAACAGTGTAAGCTAAACATCATCAACCACTACCACCACCCACACATCCTTTCTATCCCACCTCTAAAATTCCTATTTGTGTATTTCCCCCTCTAATATTTTTTCATATACTAAATCTGCCAGAGCAGGGGTCTTGACATGTGGACATTCAAAGGGCTTCCAATTGCTTATGATGCCCAGTTCGGTTGGCGAACCAATGAACCATGTGTTCTACCGAAAAGAAAATACAGTTTTGTGGTAGAAAATGTTTAGGAAATACTGCACATTATGCACTATGATATCCTACAACGGAGGAAATCCTGTAACTTGACTTAATCCAGCACATCTCAAATATATTTGGTCATGGAATATTTTACACCATCCATTAGTATCTTAAGAAACAGTTTGGAAAACACCACTGGAAGAGTTAGATACTTTATAAAAATTCCTAAGGAGTACCTGTGACCTAGTTACTTTCCTAAAGTTTCCAGACTATTTCACGCCTTGTGTTCCTAATTCTACTAATGGTACCCTCTGAAGTCTGAGCATCAAGTGAAAAGTCCCCAAATGGCAACTCTCTGACCAAAGTGGCCTACATGTGTTTTGTTTTGGTCCACATATTTGCTTACCCACTTCTTAAAAATTAAAATTAGCTGTCAATATTTAAATACTTCAATTAGGAGATTTCACACAAAATGTCTGGCTCTCGTAGCAAGGGTGAGAATAGGGACAAAATCAGAAGACACCCTTTTCAGATGTGCTCCAATTTGACATAGTCCCTATTGTTAAAAACCAAAAACCAAATACAAAAACAAACAAAACTTCTTAAGCAACTCTGATGTGCAGGTTTGGAAACCACTGGAATATGAAAAATCCACAGGGTTTGGGGGCTAAAAAGACCTGGGTTTGAATGTCAGTACCAATATTTACTTTGTTGCCCTGGGGGAAATCAGTTGGTTTGGGTCTGGTTTCTGTCTCTCTGGATCTACACAGTGAGAACAGTATTATTTACTTTGCAGGGCCCCTTTGAGGATTAAGTGAGATAAGCACTATATAACAGAGCAAGCCCAATAAATGTTAGTCACCATCTCTCAAAGCAGCTGCTTTCTACTTTATTTTTTAAGTACCAATACCTTTTTTGTTTTATCCCAAAACATACTTGCATAAAGCCATGGTTTTTAAATAACTAAAAGCAGGACTGTTTTGGCTGAAATGAAGGCTGTGGCACCACTTGGATACACGAGTACTCTGTGAAACCCAGTTTTAAAACCACCACCTTAAACCCTAGATTCAAGAGCAAACTTTTTTTAAAAAGGGTATTTTTGTGAATCCGTTCCTCCCATCTAGGTGATAACATATCACTGTTATGTACTTTAAATCTGGAACATCTTTTTTCAGGAAATGGCAACATTAGAATTCCCAACTTTACTTCTATAATCTTAAGATACTAAACTTTTATAATTTTTTTTCTTTTCTTTTTTTTTTTTTTAAAAAAGATGACCCTTGACTTGGTGTTGTCAGCACCATGCTCTCGGAAGTGACCTAACCGGCCATCCCTATATAGGGATCCGAACCCACGGCCTTGGTGTTATCAGCACCACACTCTCCCAAGTGAGCCATGGGCCAGCCCCAACTTACAATTTTTTCTAACCTTGCCAGATCTGTTTTAGACTCCACAAAGTCTCAAGAATTTTTTTAAGTACGCAATAGAATTTGATTCAAAAAATAAATGAAGAACTGGAGTGATGAACATAAAATCAAGTGAGCAATCCCCTTCATTTCTTATTCAGTGATGTCTGACGGAGGCTGCCTGTCAAGCCTAAGGCATGAATCCAGGCAGGGTTGCAGATGAGTTAGAGAGGAGGAAGAGAAGGGAAGGTCCAGGTGGGGTGGCCAACTGCTGGACTTGGGGTCTATAGGAACTAAGTAGAAGGAAAGATATATTTAGAGATTGGTAGGTTGTCTGGCTCTGTGCAGGAGCTAAATAAACAATTACTGATTCTGGGCACACCTGTGAAATGGAATGGACTGTTGACAAAATAAGTCTGACAAATAGCTTAAGCTATTTACATCCTAAAAATGTAAGAACTTCTTGTGAGAGGTAAACCCAAATATATAAATTGAATTTTTCAAATATATAACACCCCTTACTTTAATTAAAGATCACAGGTACCTTTTAATAAAGTAATAAATGACTTTTACTTACTAACTGAGACAGTAGAGGTGGAAGTGAATGATACAAATTGAAGAAAAGATCCAATGTTTCTGGTTCCAGGAAAACTGGAAAAAAAATTATTTTCTAATACCATTACTTTCAATTCAGTGATCTTAACAAAGTAAGACATTATCACACAAACTGAGAACTCCAAGACCTCTGCATGTGGCCATTCCAGTTAGGCCTATTTTTAATTCCTAGCTATTTTCCTTTGAAAGATGAAATAAAAGAGAGGTAGAAATTAACTATCTAAGATGTTCCTTATTTTTATGTAGCATGTACAGTTCTAACTAATAGTAATAGTTCTTACTATTTTCATTTGTATTAAAGTAATATTAACATTGTTTAAAAATTCAAAAAGTAAGCCACACTAAAAAATTTATAATTAAAAACAGCTGTACCCTACCCCATTCCAACTACCTTTTGACTCTTTCAGCTATATTTAATACGTGTTTCCAAATAATGTTCTATACTACTATTTCACTTCATTATTTTACTTTACACATCAACTGAACTCCTAGTACAGTGTTATTAGGCTTTAGCTGTCTAACCACTCATCCTGCAACCCCACCACCCCCACCCACTCTCTCCACAATCCACCCTCTCTCAAAAATTCATCCACTATTATCATGACTTGTGATTAAATAAATTCTAAGTGCTTACATTTATTATGACTACGTAATGTTAATAGCTGAGCCAAAAAGTATACTATGATTATGTCACATTTCTAATACTCTCTGGACTTAATCATAGTATCTCTTCTGTGCTCAGTTGTATATCTGTCATTCTTTCCAAATACTCTGACAGATTTGCAAAATGTTCTTCATGATCTTTTCCACACAATCAAATAATCTATCATTTCCATTCTCACACCCCTACCTCCCAGAGCCTTCAACATGAACTGGTGGTTCCCTAACTTTGTTATACAACTGTGTTTTTATGTCTGTTCACTGTCATCTTGTTTTAAAGTGCCCTTTTCCCAAATCCCATATCTTCCACTTGGCTTGTACATCAAGTAGATTCCTAAGAGTAAGTATATAAGAGATAAATTTTAGGAAGATTTGCATGTCTGAAAATGTCTTTATTCTATCTTATACTAGATAATTTGGGTCTAGTTTGAAAATAATTTTCCCTCAGAAGTCTGAGGATATTTATCATTGTCTTCTAGCTTCCAGTGCTGCTGCTGTGAAGTCTAATACCACTCTGATGCCAATCCTTTGTAAGTGACCTGCTTTTTTCTAATAGATTTTAGAATATTTTTCTTTATCCTTGCTCTTCTGAAATGTCATGATTATGATGCTTACTGTATTTTTTTTTCCCCGTTCATTATGCTGGCTACTTGGTGTGATCTTTCAGTCCAAAACTTTATGTCCTTCAGTGCTCAGAGCTTTTTGGGTATTATTTGTTTGTAAATTTCCTTCTGTTTTCTCTGTACTCTCTAGAAATAACAGATGCCAGACCTCCTAATTTTCTTGTATTTTTTCTATCAAACATCTCCTTGCTTTTTGTTCCACTTTCTAAGAGATTACGTTAACTTTATCTTCCAACTCTTCTGAATGTTTTATTTTGGCAACTGTCTCTTAAATTTGGAACATTCTCTGACCTTTCCTTTTTAAAACAATATCCTGTTCTTATTTTAGAAATGTATTACCTTTTCTTATCTCTCAGGATAAGAAAGATTAAGTATCCCTTATCTGAAATGCTTGGGACCAGAAGTGTTTTGGATTTTGGATTTTTCAAATTTTGGAATATTTGCAGGATATATACCATTTGAGCATCCTTAATTTGAAAATCTGATATACTCCAGTAAGCATTCCCTCTAAGTGCTGTGTCCATGCTCAAAATGTTCCAGATTTTGGAGTATTTTAGATTTCAAATTTTAGATTAGAGATGCTCAACCTGTGTCTCTTTTTGAAGTTTACTTCTACTCTTCTCCTTGTGCCTGTTTCTATTAACTCCCCCTCCCCCTTCTTTAATTAAACTTGTGTTTTAGATAACTGTGGATTCATATGTAGTTAACAAGAAATAATACAGAGAGACTCCATGTACTTTTTACCCAGTTTCCCACAATGGTAATTTCTTGCTAAACTACAGTACAGTATCAAAAGCAGGAAACTCACATTAATACAATCCAATCATATTCAGATTTCCCACTTTTACCTGTATTTGTATGTGTGTATGTACATGTGTTTTTTCAGTTTGTGCAATTAATTTTTACTACATGTGTTGGTCCACATCAAGATACAGAACACTAAGTACCTTTTGTTGATTTAGTCTCTGAAAACATTGGAAATTTTCAAAAAATCTTTGGTGTTTCTCTACTATATCTGGTATCCCTGAACCTGAAGCCTCTCCAGTCTAATTTTTCAAGGAAAAAAACTTTTCCTCTTGGGAAGCGAGGAGGTAGTGCAGATAGGGAAGGGAGGGGAAAAGCAGTCACCTAGATGCATACGTAGTAGAGAAGATCCTGAGAAGTTTAACTGTTCAGAATATGGACTTCTTACCAAACCCTTTCAGCCCTACTCTCTGACTTCAGGGATACCCTAGGGCCACCATTTTTCAGGAATGTGGGAGAACAAATCAGCTTGCTTTTTCATGGTATCCCTCTCTGTAAGAACTTAAGTTGCAATTCTGCGAAATCACTTACTCTAATTCATTCTCTTTATAACTTTGAAAAGCATGTTGACATCTCTTGCCAACTCTTAAGATTCCCTTCCACTCTGTTTATCTGAAAGTTTCAAAACAGAGCTCTTGATGTTCCCTCCCAAACCTGCTTTCTACCTAGCTCTAGAGTTGTTTTTACTTTTTTTCCCAAAATCAAATATGGAAGTTACTATGATATGAATTAGGGCAAACATTTCAATATTGAGTATCAGCAGCAAAGTAGGATTATAAACTGTTTTGAGCTCTTTTTTCATTACCTAGCAAAAAAAGAAAGATAACTATACATAAAGGCAACTATATTGCTTAATTCTGTGCCTCTTATCTCACACTAAACTTTTTCTTACTTGTTCTCCAGGTTGTTGGAATCTGCACTGTGCAAAGATCATCTGCAGATTCATCTGCTGAACTACCAATGAAGTCAAAATTAAGGCAGTTGAGGACCAGTTTCAAGACCTGCATTACCAGATTTTGTTGACATTGATCCTGAAGATTTAAAGGTTTGGCCAACACCTAAAAAAAGTTCAAAATCAAATAAAACACTGAAATACATCAATTAATTTTCACTGCATGAATTTAAATAATTCTTCAATGCCAAATGAAAATTAGTATAAAACAAACAAAACAAAAAACACAAGAGTTTACAAAGTTATATTGTTACATATATTTGAAAAAATGGTACAATCACTATCCACAAATTTCTAAAATAATAGACTATTTTCAAATCTAATTTTGTAAAATGGGAATAAAAACTTTTACATTTAACATATCGTAGGTCACCTTCTAAAGTTATAAGAAGTAATGTTAGGACAAAAACTTTATATAGCTCAATTATATAAATTACATGATTCCTTAACTCAAAGATTGCTTGGAACAAGTTGAAAATAAAACTTTAAGAAAAACTGGCCTTATTTCATGCATAAAAGAGCGATACTCAGCTAATAAAGGCTGTCAGAATTGTCTGAATGTGGAAGGACATTCACAAGCTTCTGGAAAACAATGTCGACGTCCAAAATCACAACCAGAAAAAATTATGCTTTTTAGAGACACATCGTGAAATTTTTGTGGAGAAAATGACATGAAGTTTAGGATTCTGCTTCATGAATAATACAAAAAGAAATAAAGTGGGTAGATAAGGACAGAGATGAAACGAGACTGGCCTTGAGTTCTTACTATTTAACTGGTTGATGGGTTCAGGGGGTCAATTATATTATTCTACTTACTTTCGTATATCTTAAAATTTTCCATACTAAAAGGAAACGTTTAAGTTAACAGAGTGTCTTTCGGTCTGCTCTAGTATGGCAGTTATCATGTTACTATACCACAACTGAAATAAGTAGAAATGAGTGCTTAGTGGAACATACTTTGGCAAATGCTGTACTATACCAACTGATAAGCTTGAGAAGCATGATGGAGTCCCCATATTATATGAGAGAACACAATATAATTATGAATCCTGCTACTACTAATGATCAATAGGGCACTAAGAAGCAAACAGAGAAATATTATTTCCCAATGAAATTATTAAACTCAACTATCCTGGCTAAACTATGAATGTATTTTGATAGTTGATGAATTAGGAAAACTTGTCATCTCATTTTTCACATGTACTCCATCAAAATATGGGCAGGCAGATAAAGAAACTAAGTAGGAAGATGATGAAACTATTAAGACAAGTTACTAAATTTCCCTTGGATTTTACCTTATCATATACCCAGTGAGGAAAAGTGAATTCTTTGGAATCTCTTACAGATTTGTGCAAATTTACTGTACTTAAATTAAGACTATCCACAATAATTCCTCAAAAGGAAGAACAGGAGGGAAAATCCATTTCAGGTTCTTCTGAAACTCGGAAAGTTTCCTAAGTATTGTAATTAGGGAACTGAATTATTAAATAACTTACCTCTTTTAGAAGAGAGCATGCTAGCACTAAAACGTCTTTGAGAGAAGTGTCACGAAATGAGGTAGCTATTTTCCTGTGTTTTGCTGAAGGTCTAGAATAATCAACCTAAAAAGATCAAGATGAATTAGTTTAACCAGATCTACCAAAAAAGCAAAGCAAAAATTTACTAAATAAGAAAAAGAATGGAAATAATGATTAAAGAATCATAAAGTACAGAATTAAAGGGCTTTAAAAAATTTACTGGAATAAGTGACTTGCTCAAGCTTACTCAAAGAATCAAAGGTTAGAATCCAAGTTTCTGGACTATTTCAATTCATTGCTCTTCCTATAAACCATACTGATCCCAAAATCAAAAGCCAGAGTTGATCACATTTTCAAAGAGAGTATCAACAACACAGATTACAAGATACATACTATCAACTCCTGAATGAGGTATCATATTTCATATTATACAAGTAACAACCTCCCTGTTCCTCAGATTCCACTTCAAATTCTAACTTTTCATAAATCAGCAAACTGAATTCATTATAGAAAAATTCATCTATATGAAAGAGATATTTCTACATACACCATATACGTCATTGGTTCATATATCCTTCATATTCTGAAAAGAAACTAAGGCAGAATTATAAATGAGAAATATGATTATTATATATGCAATAGTACATTCCCTCTGAATATTTTACTAATGACAATTTTTAAGAATAAATTTACTAAGACCAGCTCTTGAGCCTCTAACCTAAAACATATGTTTGAAATTAAACAATTACTACCAAAATATTTCCATTTATCTATAGAAAACCAGCAAACAAAGCTAAAATCTGATACCAAAATAATCATTCACACTGTGGTCTAAAGTGGATACAGCATTACTACTTGTTCCTTTTAATATTTGTAAAAAGAAAACAAATCATTTTCCGTGCTAATGTTTATAGATTTGAAAAAAGCAGTGAACTCAAATGGATTATCTGACACTAACCTCCAACATACAATTCAGATTATATTTAAATACCACATTTACTTATAAAACATGATATATAACAGAAATCCAACATGATTACAGAAAGCAGTTACTGGAATCTGTATCCAATATGTAATATTCAAATTAGCATTTCCAGTGTTCCTATCTTAATTTAAATGAAAGTCTGTCTCCTACAATACTTGCCTCAACATACTAAAAAAAAAAAATTCTCCTTAACACAAATTAATAAGAGCATGCAGCATTACAAATGCAATTTATAAGGTGTTCTTTACATTTTATTTCACTTAATCCTCAAAACTAACCTATGCAATACATATTATTCTTTTTTAAAGTATGAGAAAATTAGCATTTATAGGCACACTATCTTAGTCCAACCTCTCACTACCACCATATACATAACAGGGAGAGAAGAAACTTAGTTTATTAAGTTCCTTGTACATACTAAGCCCTGTGCTAGCAGTTTATCTAATCTTAATAAGATCCATGTGTCATTTTCTCTTTACAGATATCACTACATAAGTTTAAAGAAGTTAAGGGTTCGTACAAAGTAGTCAGTGATAAGCTAAAATACAAACCTATATCTTATTCCAGAGTTACCTTCAAGGCTCGCATGCTTATTTTATTTGGGTTACTCTTTTAGATATTTAATGTTTTGAAAAGAGGAAATGTTCATCCATTTCCATTGCATACATATGCCTCTACTATGTAGGCAAAGGGTATTTTACTTCTTAATGATTACATATTAAATTTACTCCAGGGAAAGTAGACTTGGCTTCTAAAAAAGCAGTACAGCTACATAATCCTCTTAACCTATAGAAAAATCAAGTTTACATGTTTTTCTTAAAAGATATATCCTGTTATTGACACTACATGAATTCACCTAGCTCAGATCTGACAACTATATTTGATTTACATCATGCAACAGAAATCTCCCTACTGCCTGATTCAGAAATGCTTACTAAATACTAGTTGATTTTAATTTTTCTTGAGTTTTTATGGCAATGGTAGTTATTTTTCAGGAACCAAATCCAGGACTCCCTTGAGAATTTCTTGTAAGGGTGGTCGTGTGTTGGTGAACTCCTGCAGTTTTTGTCTGTCTGAGAAATATACTATTTGCCCTTCATTTCGGAAGGATAGCCTTGCAGGGTAGAGTATTCTTGTCTGGCAATCTCTGTCTTTTAGTATTTTGAATATATCATCCCATTCCTTTCTGGCTTCTAGGGTTTGTGATGAAAAGTCTGATGTGAGTCTGATTCGGGCTCCCTTATAGGTGATTTGACACTTCTGTCTTGCAGCTTTTAAGATTCTCTCTTTGTCTTTGAGTTTTGCCAGTTTGACTATAACATGTCTTGGAGAAGACCTTTTTGCGCTATATACATTTGGAGATCATTGAGCTTCCTCGATCTAAAGGTCTGTGATTTTTCCTATGCCGGGGGAGTTTCTGCCACTATTTTGTTGAATATGTTTTCAATGCAATCTCCTTTTTCCTCCCCATCTGGAATACCCATGACTTGGATATTTGAGCGCTTAAGGTTGTCTGATATGTCTCTCAGATTTTCTTCAATGCCTTTGATTCTTTTTTCTTTTTTTTTTGCCTGCTTGTGTTATGTCAAACAGCCCATCTTCAAGTCTAGAGGTTCTCTCTTCAACTTCTGCAAGTCTGCAGGTTTAACTCTCCATTGTGTTTTTTATTTTGCTGAATAAATTCTTCAGTTCGGCAAGTTCTGCCACATTTTTTTTCAGGGCATTGATTTCCTTGTACATTTCTTCTTTCAGGTCCTGTATACTTTTCCTCGTTTCATCATGATGTCTAGCTGAGTTTTCTTGTATCTCATTCAGTTTCCTTAGAATTTTAACTCGAAATTCCTTGTCAGTCATTTCAAGGGCTTCTTCTTCTACAGGATCTAGAGCTTGAGAGTTATTACCCTTTGGTGGTGTACTTTCTTGATTTTTCGTATTTCTGGTATCTTTTCTTTGATCTTCTTCTACAGGATCTAGAGCTTGAGAGTTATTACCCTTTGGTGGTGTACTTTCTTGATTTTTCGTATTTCTGGCATCTTTTCTTTGATGTTTATTCATTGTGGCAGGGGGGGTTACAGTCCACAGGTTTGACACTATTGTCTGACTAAGATGTTGCTGGGGTTGCCAATTTGGTATGGCTACCTTGGTTGGCCACTAGTGCCTTGCGTGTGTGGTTGCCTCGGGTCTTGGGCCTCTCTAGGGAGCCACCTCTCTGGTCAGCTTGGACTCTGCTGGGCTGCTGGATCACGGGGCAGTACCACAGGGTGTGTGGTCTCTGCTGAGCTTCCACCTCCCGTGCTGGACGTCTCCCTGTTCTGCATGCACTGGGCCGGGTTGCTGGGATGCACGGAGGCACCGCAGAGTGTCTGGTCTCTGCGGAGCTTCCCCTTCCCCTGCTGGATGTCTCCCTGCTCCGTGTGCATTGGGCTGGGCTTGGGATGGAGCCAAGTGGCAGCGGTGAAGCCTACCTGCTGTTTGATCGCACGGTGGTGGCCCCCCCCACAAGGTGTGTGGTCTCTACGGAGCTTCTGCCTCCTCAACTGCACATCTCCCCGCAGTGCGCACACTGGGCCAGGTTGCTGGATCACACTGTGGCGGTGTGGTGCCTGCGGAGATCCCACCACCCCTGCCAGATGTCACCCTGCTCCGTGTGCACTAGGCCAGGCTGGGAATGTAGCTGGGAGCCTGCGGTGAAGCCTACCTGCTGGATTACGCAGTGGCGGCCCTACAGGGTGTGTGGTTTCTGCGGAGCTTCCGCCTCCCCTGCCGGACATCTCCCCACTCTGGGTGCACTGGGCCGGGCTGGGAATGGAGCCGGGTGGCGGCGGTGAAGTCTATCTGCTGGATCGTACGACGGCGGCCCCAAAAGTCTTGTGGTCTCCGAGGAGCTTCTGCCTTCACTGCTGGACGTCTCCCCGTTCTGTATGCACTTGATGTTATGTTCTTACAGTTGCAAATCGGTTGATTTGCGGGAGAGAATGATGCTAGGGACCGTCTCCTCCGCCATCTTGACCAGAAGTCCCTTACCGGTCATCTCATGTAAATCAGAAGACGAAGGCTTTTTCCTTTTTCCTTCTGTGACAATTTCAGATGAAGATCACCATTGCCCGAGCTTCCTCTTGCCCATCTTCTCCTCCTCCTTCTGGAGTCGCAGATGCAGGCGCTGTCACCTCAACACCCCTCAGGTTCAATTTCTTTCTTAATTCTGGAGATGACAAGACCCAATAGCAGAATTCTCTTGAATGCTGTCGTTCTTTCTGAAGCTCCGAACTGCAGGTCACAGCCTCTTTGTCATCCGTCTTTCAGGATCGTGCGGCATTTAGTTTTGGAGGCAGGGAAGTCCAGAACAAATTTGGTCAGGGCCTTCTTCTTCGTGGTGACTCTAGTTTCTGAGGCTGAGAAGTCCAAAGTCCATCTGGTGGTGGCAACAGTGACCCAGGGGTCTCAAATTGCAAGATGGTGGAAGCAGAGCATTCATGAAGTGAAAACAAACAAAAAAAAGGCTATCTACAACCCAAGGAACTAACAAATACAGAAAACAAACAGTACATCAGAAAGAACAGAACAAAAGACACCTAAGACAACCAAACAATAATCAATAAAATGCTAGGAATAAGTCAACACTTTTCAATAACAACTCTTAATGTAAAAGGCTTAAATTCTCCAATCAAAAGACACAGACTGACTGACTGGATTAAAAAGGAGGACGCAATTACCTGCTGCCTACAAGAGACCCACCTCACCCATAAAGACTCAAATACACTAAGACTGAAAGGATGGAAAAAGATTTACCATGCAAACAGAAAAGAAAAACAAGCTGGAGTAGCTATTCTTATATCTGATAAAATAGACTTTAAACTAAAGACCATAAAGAGAGACAATGAAGTACACTACATAATGATAAAAGGATTGATCCATCAAGAAGACATAACAATCATAAATATATAT